GTTGATGAATGGTGGTTTGAATTTTTTGTGTTCAAATGGGTATTGGTTCTTCTTCCACAAAAGTGCAGCTCCTTGAATGGCTGATTCTCAGAGAGTTGGTCTTGGCGAGAGAGACATCGACCAGGTTTCTTTCTTCTTCTCTTTACTTATTAATGTTCTCTCGAACTAGTACTTGATGGATGCATGGAAATCATTCTTCAAGAGTTGAGCTTTGAAATTGTTGTTAGGATTTACTAGGTTTGTCGATAATGAAAGTCGTTGGTCTTCATTGTTATGATGACATGATACAAGTTGGTAGACTTGATATGATTGCTAAAGCTGTTTATGCACCACAATGTCAATACCAAAACCTGAATGATGTAAGAACTTTGTTTTGTGTTCACTGTCTAATGTTCTTCCCATCCTTCATTACCTATTACAGGCCATTACAACACTTAAAAAGGGTCCTATTTGCTCAAATATGGTCGTAGGGGAAAGCCAAAGTTTTGCCCGTTTCAACTTTCAAGTGTAAGTTGGTCTTCTTTAAGCTTAACTTAACCTACTACATTTAAGTTCTTGTGTTTTTTTATATATGCTGAATTTTTTAAGTTCTTACTTTCACTTTTCCTTTAGTTCGAGGTAAGGAGGATAATATGATATAAAGAAACATCAAGCGTGAAAAATATTGTCATACTTATAAAATCCGGATTTCTCACTACAATTGTGCTTATTTGATTTGGTTGTGTCAGGATGAGTCTACATTGATATGGTACTCTGGGAAAGATGAGAAGCAACTCAAGCTTTGTCAAGTTACAAAGATCATTCCCGGACAACGAACGGTAAGTGTCCAAAGTAGTTCTTTGGGGTGGAGGAATTTTGTTGTCGTACTTGCACCACGTGTTCAATGTTTTTTTCTCAAAATCACCTTATGGCTATTTCAATTCAACTTGTTCAGTTAAGCTATTTGTTTACTTTTAATCCTCCATTATGTTCTTATGATTTGCAATGCATTTTCTTTCAGGCAATATTTCATCGCTATCCTCGACCGGAGAAGGAGTATCAATCGTTTTCTCTTATATATGGAGATAGGTCTTTGGATTTGGTGAGTTGCTCATATTCTGTTTTGACAAGAATACTATTCATGATAAGTCATGACCATCTATCTATTTGTTCTGTGCTCAAACTATGGCTGGGAGCTTTGGTTTGTACGGAGAGAAAATAGTCTACACCATGTATAAGAAGAAATAACTTGAGGTATGTTTACAGATATGTAAAGACAAGGACGAAGCTGATGTTTGGTTTGTTGGTCTGAAGGCGCTAATTACTCATGGTAATTACAACCGAAAATGGAGGATTGACACAAGAACTGAGAGCACACCATCAGAGAGCCCATATTCTCGTACACGACGATGTTCTCCTTCTGTTACACCATTTGTCCGTACAAATCTTTTGAGATTTCATTGTTGCTTAGCTTTCATTAAATTTTGCCTCTCTCTTTATGAGATTATTCGCCATTTTTTCAACAGGACCTAGAGGCTATAGATGGTCGAGATTCCGCCTCAGACTTGGATAGTAATGCACCAAACAGATTGGGAAAGGCATTCTCAGACATTGTAACATATACTGCTTCAATTAACCATCAAAATCTAGCAGATTCTACTACAAGTACAGTTAGCTCATTAACTATTGGATCCGCGGACAATATTCCGAGTGGTCGTAGTTCTACTAATGAGACATTTAGAGTCAGTTTATCAAGTGCTGTTAGCTCGTCCAGCCAGGGTTCGTGTCAAGATGACTTTGATGCTTTAGGTGATGTCTTTATCTGGGGAGAAGGAAGTGTTGATGGAGCACTTGGTTGTGGCGTCCATAGAGTTGGAAATCCATCTATTCCAAAATCTTATGCTCTTCTGCCCAAGGCATTAGAGTCAACTGTTGTTCTTGATGTTTACAGAATAGCTTGTGGTAGCAACCATGCTGCATTGGTCACGAGACATGGAGAGATCTTCAGTTGGGGCCAAGGTTTAGGTGGTAGGCTTGGGCATGGTAAAGAAGTAGATGTTCCTTTACCCACACTAATTGATGGTTTGAGCGGTATGAATGTAGATGTAATAGCATGTGGAGAGTACCACACATGTGCTGTAACACTTTCTGGGGATCTTTATACATGGGGCGATGGAACTCACAACTATGGTCTCCTTGGACATGGAAGTGAGGTAAGTCACTGGGTCCCTAAAAGGGTTTCTAGTAACATTGAGGCAACATATGTCTCCTCTGTTTCATGTGGACCTTGGCATACAGCTGCAGTGACAAGCAGTGGGCAACTGTTTACATTTGGAGATGGAACTTTTGGAACACTAGGTCATGGTGATCGTATTAGCACAAGTGTACCTCGGGAAGTGGAATCATTGAGAGGGATGAGGGTGAAAAAGGTTCTTGTGGCTTGTGGCACACTGCTGTAGTTGCTGAGGAAGTGATTACTGATCCCTTGAGTGGAGAAGTTTCAGCTGGTCCTTCATCTGGGAAACTTTTCACATGGGGTAATGGAGATGAGGGCTGCCTTGGACATGGTGATGAAAATCCTAGACTAGTCCCTGAGCAAGTAGTCACTTTAGTTGATGAAAATATCTGCCAAGTAGCTTGTGGGCATAACCTTACAGTGGTACTGACGATACTAGGGCAAGTATATACAATGGGGAGCTCTACTTATGGTCAGCTTGGATGTCCCAAGGCAAATGGGAAATTGCCAAACCTTGTTAAAGGTAAACTATCAGATTGCATTATAGAAGAGGTTAGTTGTGGTTCATATCATGTTGCAGCTTTGACCTCTAAAGCAGAGGTATATACTTGGGGAAAAGGAGCAAATGGGCAGTTAGGCCATGGTGACAAAGAAAGTAGAAATACACCTAAATTAGTTGATTTCTTAAGGGACAAGCAGGTCAAAACTGTGGTATGTGGTTCCAATTTTACAGCTATTATATGCCTTCATAAATGGGTGGGCAGCGCTGATCACTCATTATGCACAGGTTGCCGAAATCAATTTGGCTTTAGAAGAAAACGTCATAACTGCTACAATTGTGGGCTAGTGTTTTGCAAAGCGTGCAGCACTAGAAAGTCTCTGAAAGCTTCTTTGGCTCCAAGTACTAATAAGCCATATCGAGTTTGTGATGATTGTTATTATAAACTGAAGAAGGTGTTGGAGTCTAATCATCAATCTTCACACACTCCCAAGGCTCGAACTGGAAACAATCCTGATAAAAGCATCGATATGATGGAGAAAGAGACAGTACTCCCCAGATTGTTGTCACAATACTCCAAACTCTCAACTATTGACGCCATTCATGGGAGCAAAACATGGCAGTCGAAACATAGTAGTAAGAAAAGGTTGCGTAATAGTCGTGTATTTCCTGTTATAACTGCCAACTTACAGTCATTGGAATTAAGTCATTTTAAAGTACCTACAATTGCACAAGGTTCCTTGAAGAAGCCCTTACAGAGGAACTTACCATCTTCTAGTGTTTGTTTGAGAACTCCTATTATTATAGATGACACAAGAAATATGAATGTCACTTATTCTGAAGAAATCCAAAGGTTAAGGGAACAGGTAAATATAGTTGAACTCATTAACTTTAGTAGTTTCATATTTATCAATTCTTATGCTTTCTTCAATTAGCCTATACGAAATCCAACAGCTTGATGGTTACACGGTTGTTAACCCATGACCTTATATTGTTTGAAGATCTCCTTGTGATCACTTAGATATATAATCTTTATTTCGGTTACATATGTTTGTCTTCTACTTCTATTTGCGATATTCACAGAAAGGAAGTTTATTTGAATGATCTTTATAGGTAGAACATCTCACTTTAAAAATTCATCGTCTTGAAGCTGAGGTTGAAACAAAAGCAAATCAGCTAAAACAAGTTACTTCACTAGCTACTGATGAAGCTGAAAAGTGCAAATCAGCAAAGGAAGTCATCAAGTCTCTGACCACTCAGGTGAACTTTGTAAAACAACCTTTTGGACTACGAACATATGCTCATAATCTATTCTGCAACATACATGTATGTAAATCAATTAGTTGTTTTCTTGATTTTATTTCACCAGTTGAAAGAGATGGTTGAAAGAGCCTCCGAGGGAGAGGGCCTAGATGGCACCAAACATGAGTCTAATGCCAGCCATTCAGCAAATGAATTATCTCGTGAAATCGAACCCAATGGAAACTCAATAGATAACCATATGCTGACATATGGACCCAAGTGCCAAAATGAGAAACCACAACATGTGATACAGGCTGAACCAGGGGTGTTCATCACTTTGTCATCCTTGCCTGGTGGCGCCAATGAACTCAAACGAGTTCGTTTCAGGTTCGTGATAACATGGGTAACCATATTTTTCAAGTGGCATAGAATCCTTACGTATGTCAATTGTCACTTTTGGCTCATGGTAGTTTAGTAAAATTTTCAGATATTTTTGTTACAGTCGCAAATATTTCTCGGAAGAAGAAGCTGAAAGATGGTGGACGGAGAAAGGGACCAAGGTATGTGAGCGTTACAACATTCATATAGAGTGACAATGCGATCACGAGAAGTAGACTCCTCTTCATAACAAAGCCTCTAATTTTGGCAAAAGAGAAGCAATTAAAGAATGTGGCAGATTCTTCATGGAAAAATTGTACACTTTATGAAAGTTAATTCTTGCATAACAATCTTATTGAGAAAAATGTCAGGTTTCATTGGTAGATTTTATTTCTCTTCCGTACAGTCCTATTACCATTTAGAGTCAAAGCTATCTATAATTGTTTTAGAAGTAAATACAAATAGAACAAGATACTTATTACAATTCATTGATGCAAGCTTCAACGCAACATGTATTACTCAGATCTAGAAGTTACTATTTTCATTCTTCACACTAGACTAGATTAGTTTACCTAATATATAATTCTTATTGATAGAACTACAGTGAATGTCATCCATCATATAGAACCATCTTGTTCTAATTATCATTTTGTTTGGAAACAGAAGAATATGATATTATTGTTTGAAGGTGGCTTTGCTCTTCCATTTTGATAGATTTCAGGGATATAATGAAATAAAAATACACTACGCTGATATTGTCTCCATTTTCAAGATTGAAATATTTCAACAATTTTGAATTTCATTGCTCCTTTAATTATTCCATTGGAAAAATCAATTTAAGAATATCCCTCCTGTATAAATATTATACAAATTACTAGTTAATGGTTCATTAACCATTCATGAAGCTGTATTGCCAAATACGCAATATAAATGTCAATAAAGATGCAATCAAACAAAAATATACAAGAATCAATCAATTATAGATGTGGATGTGAATATACAAAATCGTACGCTATTAGAACTCGCAGTTGAATTGTGTATAATACATAAATCAATATATGAAATTAGCCAATAATGTTTAGTTGTGGGCGAGAGTTCACCATGTACTTCTCCATCCCCGTGCCAAACCAAACAAAGTCCATGGCCACTACAACAATAAAAATCTGTTCAGAAACAATTAGCTAGCTCACAACATGTTCAAGTGTGGCGCGCACTTTTGATTTGAACTCTAGTGCACGATCTTTTAAGTGTTTGAGCTTCTTTGCAACTAATGTACTCGGACTTAACGACCTCTCGATCAATACCTAGCCTCTACAATCCTACAAAATATTGCAACACATACTCAATAAAGTCACCATAATTAAAAAAGCCACTAAACCCAAACACTCCCGCAGCTTTGCTGCTCTCACAACTTTTTAAACAACATGTTCGATATATGCGAACACTCCATTATCATCATCAATAGTAGTGGAGAGCTGCATCCATAAATAAGAGAATCATATAAAAACCAAAGAGGTCACAATTGATAACGCTCTAATTACACATATTTAATCCCTCAATTCATTAGCATTGTGGATCATTCTCTTGCATATTAAGCTGATTTTACACTAGGTTGTGCATGTTTGTGATGTTTCAGGCCCTATAATGTAAATGAGAGATTAGGAGAATTTCTGGGAAAATAGGAGCAAGTCTGGAATAGAAAAGGGAAGAGTTACGGCCTAGCCCATTACTCCCCAAGTTAGCCCGTAACATTCTCTGCAGAAACATAAGAATGGTTAAAGTTATGGGCCAAGTACCTAACTTAAGGCCTAGCTCGTAACTCTTCAAGGAATATCGTAACTCTAGGATTATGGTTTACAGAAATGGTGGCGCTTTAGGACAAGTTACAGGTGGAAGAAGATAGTTACGACCGTAATAGGCAGTTTCGGAAACTTGGCAAAGGATCCGATTCTTTGACCTAAAATCAAGCTGCAAGCTTTATGGAGAGAAAAAGTGAGGAAGCACCATTCTTCGAGTGATTTGGAGCATCTTTGGTGACCATTGGAGGTCGATTCATCGCGTCAAAGTGGCAAACGAATACATGGAGTAGATTTTCACCAGAGAACGATGATTTCTACTTCTGCTCCCATGTCTTGTTCTTTCTCCTGACTAAAACTCTTCTACATTTGGGTATGAAGAATCATAGCTTTGTATGTTAGGATAATCGTTGTATTAACCCTTGATTCTTGAATATTGGCATTGTTACTGCAATTGAGGCATTTTCCAAAATTGATTGAGTCTTGATCACATTCCTTAGATTCCTGCATTAATCTAATAGAGATAAAATCTTATTAGGTTGTTAGAACACCCTAAATTGAAATTAGTGAATGGATTGCAGAAAAGTGAATCAATTCATTGATCTGTACTAGAGTCAAAACTCAGTAGTGAAAGTTTAATTGAATTGACTTGGTAGGTTATTCCGGTTGAGGATAATCTCCCTCCGCATACTATATTCAAGAGGGTCTGGATTGCTTTAATGGAGATTCTAGACTACCTCAAAACTTTACGCAGTTTGAATGTCGATGAAAATGAATTAGAGAGAATTACAATTTGACCTAACCACTGGATAGGGGGACATATACATGAGTGACTTTTGCATCTGGATCGAATCAACATTGTCTTAGTTGTCTTCCCCTTAGTTTTTAGTAATCTTCACTACAATTCGAACACTGGATAACATAATTGATCACCGAGTAATAGTAACTCTAGGGCCCCTGATTGACAAGTAAAGCTTAGATCCATTATAATGCATCATGAGTGTGGTTATACTTGGCCACTTCTTAGCGAGTTGGTTTTAGAGAGTCAAGTTCTTGGCACCATTGTCGGGGACAACTAGATTAGTAGGAAACGTTATTGATTGTTACTTCAGTTTAAATTTTCTGCATTTGTTACTTTTTTCTCCTTGTGCGTTTCATGGGTGTGTTGCTTGAGTGTGCGCAAGTAATGTATGACTTGTAGCCAACGAGTCGACTTGCTTTCATTGAACGACAACATCAACCATACCCTACACGAGCTTAATAAAGCACTTCAGCTTCAAATGGCTGTAGAAGCAGAACTGGACCTGTATCGCACACTTGTTGAGGATGGATCACACCCTCACAAAGTAGCCTACAAAGAAGGAGATATGGAAGATGAAGAGATGGCTCAAACGTCATGCACCTGAGTCTATCACCTCATGGGAAGATTTGAGTACCAATTTTATGATTTGATACTTTCACCAGTTCAAGATTGCTGCTCTTCAAAAAAAGATCACTCACTTTGTGTAGGACAAGGACGAGTCTCTCAGGGATGCTTGGGAGAGGTACATAGACGTAATCCTGATGTGTCCCCATCATTGCTTCGATGACACATACCTTGTGGGGAAATTTTATGGGGCTATTTCTATAGAGGACATGTAGCTCATTAACTCCTTCTGTTAAGGAGGTATGCTCAACATTACCCCGCATGAGATGAATCAAGTGTGGAAGAACATGGTTGCCCAAAGATACGATTGACACACTTCCTGGAAAGGAGGAAGCTTGAAGGCAAATGGCGTCCATGTTGCAAAGTTCGGCATGATTCTAGAAGAGCAGGTTTCCAACCTCGTTCTGGCCATGAAGGGGTTTAACAGCCTCATTTATGGTGGAGGAAACTAGCAGGTGATAAAGTATGACATGTTCCAGAGCCCTAGTCATTTTATGCAGGATTGGCAGATCATGTAGGAGCAGATGGCTTCATTTCCAAACTCGGGGAGGCAACAACCCATACAGCAACGCAACAATCTAGGGTGGCGTCATCATTTCAACTTCTCATGGCCTGTTCCCACAAATCACAGGCCACCAGGATACCAACCACCATATGCATGGTATCAGCAAGGCTCTCCCTACCATACCAGCCTTGATAGAAAAACCAGGAGAGTGGCTACTAGCAACATCAACAACAGCCCCAGGGACCTGTAGCAGCTACTCAACCTCCACCGGATAGCTATCAGGATGGAGGAACTAGTTAGCAATTTCATGATCAATACTACCCAAAAGTTTAGCAAAATGAACCACTTCATGGATATGCTGTTGGGAGTTTTTCTGAGATTGAGGATGGCCAAAGGCACCAGCAGGCGTTTTGAAGGATTTATCAACCCAGATCAAGAATGTGGCAATTTATTGCCAAGAGATCGCTGGGTACCATGCTTGCTAACACAGTGCCCAATCCTCTGGATATCCCAAAACATTTAAGGCCATATCTCTCAAGAGTGGGAAGAAGACTACCAACATCCATGCTCCTGCCATAAGCAAAGAAAAGTATCCTACCCTAGCAACCCTAGTCTCCAACAAGAAAATGGAGAAGGATGAAGAGGTGTCTACTTCAAAGCCACAACCAGTGGTGAAAGAGCATGTCCCTGAACTTTCTTTCCGCACTCGTAAGCATAAAGACAAATTGGAGGCTGAATTCGCTAATTTCATGATTGATGCTGAAGCAGGTCCACATCAACCTGCCGTTTGTGGAGGCACATCGCAGATGCCCAAGTATGCAAAGTTTATGAATGATCTCCTCACCAATAAGAAAAAACTTGGAGAAGTGTTGACAGTGATGGTGATTGAAGAGTGTTCTACCATCCTACAAAATAAACTACCAGAGAAGCGAAAAGACCCATGGATTTTTACTATTCCCTGCATTGTTGGTAGTTTTCCTATAGGGCAGTCCTTGGTGAACCTAGTACCACTAGGATGAGCATTTAGTTAGCTGATAGATTTGTTGTGCATCCTAGGAGCATTGTTGAGGATCTACTCGTGTTTGTGGGTGAATTCATTTTCCCTATTGATTTTGTGATTCTTGACATTATGAGGATGTGGAGGTGCCCCTAACTCCCAGTAGACCGTTTCTTGCCACCGCCAAGGCACTCATATATGTGAATGATGGCAAGTTAATACTCCGGGCTGAGAGTGAACAAATAACCTTTTTCCATTTTTTATAATCTAAAGCATTCCCACTTGCATGATGACTTGGATTATTGTGATGTGTCTTCGGATTTTGAGACCGCACTCGCCATCACGACTGCAGGTACATACGATTCCCTTCAGCTCTTTTGTTGCTAAGGGAAAAATGCATGCATCACAAGAGCTGCACCTGGAGGAGCAGTTGGCAGCATTGGAAGGTGGGGTGATGCAGGAGCACGAGACTCCGGTGGAGTTAGTATCCAAATCAGCTATGATCACCACCTTGCTGGAGGAACCACCAGAGCTGGAGCTCCCCCAGTCACTTGGAGTATGCATTCCTAGGGGAGGCGAGCA